GGTCCCTGCAAACCTATTTCTGAGGCTGAGGTTGGCCAAGATATTCATTCACAGCCACTTGCCTGTGGCTAGGTACCATGGTATTCTGCCTTGCTCTGGGCTTCTCCATGTAGGGTTCAGGTCCAGATTCCTATATAATATCCTGGCACCCTCCTTCATTTTCTTCTCCCCATCCCCAACCCCTCCCCCCATTCCAGCCACTAAGAACATAACTACTTTTTACACTTCGTGCTGCCTGGAGTTTGTGGATGAATTGGTTGATGGTTCTATGACCACTAAAGTCACTGTATCACTGTATCACACTTGGAGCCCACAGCCCACCAAGACTAGCACAACATGGGAGTAGGTATGAAGCTCATGTTGCTAAGATATGCCTACACTGACCTAGACTCACAGCCCAAGAACACCACAAAGAGGCCCAAGTGATGCTGACTAAGATAAGTTCAATTTACTGGTCCATGGGCCACCACATGTCCCTGAGGTGGGTCCATTGGCTCCGTCAGCAGGCACTAGCCTGGAATGATCTTCCCACTGCTGTATTTTACCAGATAAGCACTGATGTCCAAGACACTGTCATGTGCTCACTTTCATGCTCTATTCCCAAGTATCTGGAGTCTTGCTCCTTGCTGTATGCCCTATGGTTGGGAAAGAAGTAATAGAAATAGTCTCTTGGCTTCCCAAGCTTGCATGCAACTGAGTCACACTTGGGTCTTACAGCAACTACACCCTGTACAGTCTTGGGAAAGCACACCAGGTCTGCTGTGTCTGGAAGCCATAAAGACTGAAACAAGTCCATCACATTGGGGCACAGGTCTCCTCCGGATGCCAGGGAAGATTTCGAGGCTGTGGCTGCAAACTTTGGCTTGGAGACAAAGAACTCTAGGATTTATCTGGTACTAAGTCTGATCATGGCACATCCAACATTGAACTCCGAGGCAATGTCCTATTCTAGCTTTTTGCTTTTTTGCCCAGAGACTGCAGTATTGCTCCACTGCCCATCAGAAATTGGTACAAGGATGTCTTCTAGCTTAGGAAGGCCTACACGATAAGTCTGAAGAAACAGGGGCCATGGAATCTTGTTTTCCATTGGACTTCATCATGGTGGACATGGCACTGCATTTCAAATCTTAGATCAGGACTTAATTCCCTCTTCTTCCTGTCTGGAGGTAAGGAATTCCTGTCCATGCTGCACTGCTTGGAGAAATCAGAGGACAACTATTATTCCTGCCTTCTTCCATGCATCTTTTCTTATTTTACACTGAAACTAGCTCTGTGGTTTTTCACCTGGCTTCCTTAGCTCTTGTGAAAGCAACTTAGTGCATGAATACCTGTTCAAATTGGTGTCACTGTGCATAGATGATTGCTGGAACATATTAGTTGCCATCTTTCTTCACTCTCCTGGAACAACTAAATTCCAACTTAACTGTCGTTGCTGGGATGTGCTGTGATATGTATTCAGCAGAAATCATACTTTGAATGTTGAACATTACTCTTTTCCCAGGTTAAAGATATGTATTATGTTACTCTTAAGATGCTGGGCAGCAGCAGTGAGCCACAGCTCCCACTCAGCTATCCCATCACAGAGCAAACTACCAATACTCTACAGGGTACTGTGTTGCTGAGCTGTGTCATTTGGTAGTTTAGGTGTATAAAATACAATTTCCACTTACAGTATTTTCAACTTATGATGAGTTTATTTATTGGAATATATCCTCATCATAAGTCAAGGAGCATCTGAATTCAAAGACACATGGCTATTGATGGGGTTTATTGATAACTAGAGCACAGGCACACTGATTTTGGAGAGAGTTTGAGGATTATCAAGATTTCTATACACATTCATAGAACAAATTATCCTACTTTTTCTTTTACTAGCAACTCTACCCTCAGATTCCACAACAGTAAAACATAGCTTTATCCTCCTTCGTACCTTTTACAGAAACAATGTGCAATTTTAACATGCAATGATTAATTATTAAATTAGCCTAGTACATATTAACCAATCTCTACTCAGAACTCATAGGTGTAAGCAAACATGCTTCAATACTAAAAGAATGCAGTAGAATCATATAGGATAGAAATTGTGGTTGGGTTGGGACTGGGGTTAAGGGAATGTTCCTTGGGGACCTGGGATTCTCCTCCAGGCAGGAATGTGCTCCAGGGAACACCTGATGCCTGAACACTTTTGCAGTGACTGCAGTCTGTCATCATTTCAGTGATTCAAGCCTGAAATCAAATCCACACTTGGTTCAACCCCCATCAATCTGGAGCCAAGCCTAGAAATAGTTCCTTAATGGCATTTGGGACAGGAGCAAATGTCCTACATGGTGGCGCCTGTTGGCTCTAATCAGACAAATTAAGGAGTTGAGCATGTTTCCACCATTTGGTATAGTTTTATTTTAGTCCGCAAGTCCCTCTGCTCCCATTTTAAGTTCTGGCATGTTCTCATGGCTGGGGCCATGCTGCCTTATCACTGAGAGCATCCTCCTCAAGAAGTGTCACGTGCCATGTCCATCCTAAGGGATCCTTGCTGTCCAACAAACTAATTGTGCAGCTGCTCTGTAACATCACAAAGGCCGCCTCTTTCTCTCAGTGTGCTTAAAATCATTTTCTTTCAAAATAAATCAAGAAAATATTCCAGAAAGTATATGCTAAGCTATTTTTTAAGAGTTAAAAGGGTCTTCTCCAGGAGCAGAATGGAAAGTTTAAACAGACTCTAGTTTTGTTTGTACCACAGAATAAGATTTAGAATTAAAGAGTGATCGTTAATTTTACTTTTGAAAAGAATGATTACTCAAATCACCAATTTTTTCCATTCCAAGACTATTCAGCTAAATCAAATACTTTGCTAATCTTCTACTGGTTTTTAACCATAAAAAATTCTATTTTTATATGGTTCAAATAAATGTTTATATCTCCAGATGATTGATTGATTTAACTCTTTAACATCCTTGTGTTTCCTGTCACTAGGAATATATATATATATATATATATATATATATACAGTAACTGAAAATTACATCATCCTAGGGATACCTGCATTCCTCTATAGTTCATCCAATGCTAACATGAAACAGCTTCTCTGCAAGTTCATGAAGTTTCCTCAGAATTAGAAAGAAAATTCAGACAGGTCAAAAGGAGAAAAAGAAAAAAGAGAGAGCAATGCTCATTACTATTAGCTGTGTCCTCTATCTTTTATTTTCTCCCTTACTAACTATAAAATGCAAACCATGCTAGTCACTGCAGAAAATATATGCCAATTAAATTATGTTGATCACTTGTCCAAAACCCCATAAATTATAGGGAAACTAAAATTATTTCCATCTTGAAACAAGTAGATACTAAATACAGAAGTGATGGGAATTGCCTAATTACTAGTAACATATAAAAGGTCTATTATGAGGGCCTACATTGTAGTGTAGAACCTTAAGCCACCACGTGCAATACCAGCATCCATATGGGCACTGGTTTTAGTCCTGGCTGCTCCACTTTCAATCCAGCTCCCTGCTAATGTGCCTGGAAAAGCGGCAGAGGAAGGCTTAAGTGCCTGGGCCCCTTTCACCCACATGGAAAACCTACGAGAACTCCTGGTTCCTGGCTTCAGCCTTGCCCAGCCCTAGCCATTGCAGCCATTTGGCGAGTGAACCAGTGGATGGAATCTCTCTCTCTCTCTCTCTCTCTCTCTCTCACATACACACACACACACACACTTACAAATAAATAAATAAATCCTTTTTTTAAAAAAATGCTCACTTAGCCGGCGCCGCGGCTCACTAGGCTAATCCTCTGCCTTGCGGCGCCGGCACACGGGGTTTTAGTCCCGGTCAGGGCACCAGATTCTGTCCCGGTTGCCCCTCTTCCTGGTCAGCTCTCTGCTGTGGCCAGGGAGTGCAGTGGAGGATGGCCCAAGTACTTGGGCCCTGCACTCCACGGGAGACCAGGATAAGCACCTGGCTCCTGGCTTCACATCAGCGTGGTGCGCTGGCCTCAGTGCGCTGGCCGCGGCGGCCATTGGAGGGTGAACCAACGGCAAAGGAAGACCTTTCTCTCTGTCACTCTCTCTCACTGTCCACTCTGCCTGTCAAAAACAAAAAAGAATAAAAAATGCTCACTTATAACTGCATCATTCAGGTTAGCAAAGAATGAATGGATATCGTTTATTTCTCACCAATGAGCTCAGAGTCAGTAACTATAGACAAATCTCAATGTATTCTCTACTTTTAGACTAGTTGAGTAGAAACTTTTTACCCCATTTAATCTATTTCTCATGTGAGGACAGCCCCTTGAGTTACGTTCCCACACAGATCCTCCTATATCAGTCCGTGCTCTTACAGGCTGTGCTGGCTTTGTCTTCTTAGTGTTGCATCCATGTGTCAGGCACTGCACATCACAGGCAATCAGTAAAAATTTATTCAATTAATTAATTAGAACTTTGTTTTCTGGAAGTGCTTCTTTTAATGTATTAATTACTTGAAAGACAGAGTATAGAGAGAGAGAGAGAAGGAGGAGAGTCAAAGAGGGAAAGAGATCTTTCATTCACTGGTTTACTCCCCAAATGGTAGCAACAACCAGGGCTGTGCTATGCTGAAGCCAGGAGCCTGGATCTTCATCTGGGTCTCCCACATGGCTGGCAGGGTCTAAATCACTTGGGCCTTTCTCTGCTGCTTTCCCAGGCACATTAGCAGGGAGCTGGATCAGAAGCGAAACCAGTACTTAAACTGATGCTGATATGGAAAGTCAGCATTGTAGGTGGTGGCTTAACCCACTGTGCCACAATGCTGGCCCCATGAAGTGCTTTCTAAGAAGCAAACATAATGATATATTTTTATTTATCAAGCCCCGGAGTTATCCACTAAGGCATATTGCAGGTGTTTTTGTCATTTGTGAGAATTTACAGTTGAAAAAACAGTATTTACATGATCAGGAACACAGGTGTCCCAAGAACACAATCTTACCTGTGGCTGAAAAAAAGTTGATGTCTTGTCCTTCAATAAACTTACCTTCAATAAACACTACCATTCTTCCGAAAGGGTCACCTCCTCTTCCACACTGATACACTGTGACAGTGAAAAAAGCATGATTAATAATTAAACCAGAACAAGGGACACAAAAAAAGACATTCCTACAATATGTGGTTATTCAATTTCTTGGCACCCTACTAAGTGCCTGTTGCTCTGCTGAGCCCTGCGGTGGAGGGTAAAAAAAAATGTGCCCACCACTATAATTGGAAGAAGGTCATGAGTCCCAGGTAAAATAGGCCAGCATAATGTAATTTGTATTTTCATTTCATTCACCTTCAAAACTCCTATTTCCTTTTCTAAATGTTTTCACTCTAGATAGGAGGATTGGAAATCACTGTTTTTCTAGGTCCTGATATATTTCTATTTTGTGAAGATTTTATTCATCTTTGAAGTCTTTAACCAAAGAATGTAAAAAGATATTAACTGTTAATAAATGGCAACAGAATTAGAACCTAGAATTCCTAAAATGAGTCCATCCCTACAATAACTATAAAAGTAATAAGATAGAGTTCTAAGAAAAAAATCATGAGAATATGACTAATTTACTTATTATTAGAGTGTAGTTTACACAATATACATAGTGAATTTTTACTGCCTACTAGATCAAGATTTAGAAAGCTCTCGGCGTAGCACTGAAGCATACCAATTTGAGCCACTGCTTGTGATGTCAGCATCTCATATTGGAGTGCAGGTTTGAGTATGGCTACTCCACTTCTTTTTTTTTTTTCTTTTTTTTTAACTTTTATTTAACAAATATAAATTTCCAAAGTACAGCTTATGGATTACAGTGGCTCCCCCCCCACCATAATTTTCCTCCCACCCGCAACCCTCCCATCTCCCACTCCCTTTCCCATTCCATTCATGTCAAGATTCATTTTCAATTATCTTTATATACAGAAGATCAATTTAGTATATATTAAGTAAAGATTTCAACAGTTTGCACCCACACAGAAACATAAAGTGTAAAGTACTGTTTGGGTACTAGTTATAGCATTAATTCACATTGTACAACACATTAAGGACAGAGATCCTACATGGGGAGTAAGTGCACAGTGACTCCCATTGTTGATTTAACAAATTGACATTCTTACCTATGGCATCAGTAATCCGCCCCCTAGGCTCTTGTCTTGAGTTGCCAAGGCTATGGAAGCCTTTTGAGTTCGCCAACTCCGATCTTATTTAGACAAGGCCATAGTCAAAGTGGAAGTTCTCTCCTCCCTTCAGAGAAAGCTACTTCCTTTTCGATGGCCCATTCTTTCCACTGGGATCTCACTCGCAGAGATCTTTCATTTAGTTTTTTTTGTTTTTTTTTTCCAGAGTGTCTTGGCTTTCCATGCCTAAAATACTCTCATGGGCTCTTCAGCCAGATGCAAATGCCTTAAGGTCTGATTCTGAGGCCAGAGTGCTGTTTAGGACATCTGCCGCTACTCTACTTCTAATCCAGCTCTCTGCTCTTGTTCTTAGGAAAGCAGCAGATAATGGTTCAGGTACTTGAGCTACTGCTATCCACATGGGAGACTAGGATGGAGCTTCTGGTCTCTGTGTGGCCCTGCCCTGGCCACAACCACCGTTTGCAGAGTAAACCAGTGGACAGAAGATCTCTTTCTGTCTCTCCCTCTCTTTCTCTTTTCCAAATAAATACATAAATATTTAGAAATAAAAATGAAAATTTAGAAAGTTGTCAACACCAAAGAGGCCCAGCTTCCTTGTATCTCCTTGGGAAGCCAAATTGCAGACCAAGGGGAGAAAAAAAAAGCACTGCCTAGTTTTTCTTCTTCTCACTGTCTTCAGGAAAGATAAGCTGCTAGGTGTCTACATCTTAGATTAACACTTTGCTCTTAAAAAAATTCAAAAATAATAATTGATAATCACTAAGAGCCAGAGAGCCAGGCAGTGTAACAGACACTTTAAGTTCATCATTGAACACTCACAACCACCCAGTAAAGTGGAGAGCTGTATTATTGTCTCATTTCACAAGAAACGTGGGGTACAGAGATGTCAAGCAATTTATACCAAATCACACAAGCTTCAAGTATTGTAACCAGGATGCAAATCTTTTCTGCCAGAAACGTGCATGCTATTCCAATGCAAATTTCTTATTTATAAATTAGGAGATGGATTTAATTCTATCTGAAGCCATTTCTAGCTTCAAAATTGTGAATCTATAAAAATAATTTTAAGTCATAGACATATTATATAGGAATTTCTTAAATTTCATTTCCCTTTACATGATAAAGGAATATAGTTTGCATGGAGACAAAAAAATACATGACTTTTTTAGTGCACAAAAGAACCTACGAGCTAAATTTCTAAATCATATTTGTTCTTTCCCCAGGATATGAAATTTCTTGAGTAATTGCAAAGTGATATCTTGCCATTGATTTTCTGCCAGTTCATCTACAGGAATTGTACTTGGCTTTGTCAAAGACTACTTCTATATTTGGCCTTTTCTAATATTCAGGTTCATCTTTTTTTTCTTACTAAATATAAAAGATCTAATTAGATTTCTGGAATTTACTGTGAAGTACTTCCAGGTTTTACAAAGGGATCATAGCAGATCTACCATGATATTTAGACATACACTGAACCTACCCAAAGCACTCAGACATTCTTCAAGAATTCTTCTGGCAACATACCCTGACAGTTCTGGCATGCTAAGGTGGAGAATGGGAAGAGAAGGAAAACAGGGTATATCTTCACTCTATTTCAGGTCAAAGTTACTTCCAAAATAATATGTTCATTAGAGCTTTGTGTTTTATCTTGGCTGAAACTCATGATTTCCAGAAATCCTGCCCTAAACTGTGCCTTGTTTTATCAACACTCTTGGTGTTGCAAAGTGACCTAAACCAATTTAAGCTTCATAATTATCTGGTCCTTTAGATAGACATGGGTAGCCTCTACTAACAAGAGAAGCAAGAGCCAGATCTGCTTGTCACTCAGCTACCAGGTTGGCATCTTACCTAAGAAGTCTCAGACTAAATGCTGGCACTCATATAATATCAGTTGACCATCAGTTACAAAAGCAGCCTTTCAGGCACACAGCCTGTTCTGGGAGCTTTGTGAAGTTTGGAAGTTCAGTTGCATTCAGACAAGTAACTAGGAAACAAAGTTGTCTCAAAGCAGATGTAATGGTGCTCTAGCACTGAGATCATCAACTTTCTAACAAGGGCAGGCAGTGAAAGTTCCTGTTAACTTATGTTGTCCAGGAGCAAATGGATCTTAGGATTACAGCCCTTTTGGAGAATGTCGAGCTGTTGGCTAATGCACATTTTCTAGAAGTGCCTATTTTATATTGCTAGCCAATCTATGTGTGTGTTACATTTTATCAGTTGGAAACAATCTCTAATTTTCCTCTTGAGAGTGAATTATAGCTATCCAGTGTGGGTTCAGAGAGCAATATCTGAACTACAGTACACTCTACATATTCATGAATTCCATATCATAGAATCAAAGATATTTGAAAAACCATTATATCTCTATTGAATAGGTGAAGAGATTTTTGGTAATTATTCCCCAAACAATACAGTGTAACAGCTATTTGTTTACCATTTACCTTGTATTAGGTATCATAAGAAATCTAGAGATAAATTAAAAGGTATAAGACAGGCTGGCGCCATGGCTCACTTGGCTAATCCTCCACCTGTGGCGCCAGCACCCTGGGTTCAAGTCCCGGTTGGGGCACCGGGTACTAGTGCTGGTTGCTCCTCTTCCAGTCCAGCTCTCTGCTGTGGCCCAGGAGGGCAGCGGAGGATGGCCCATGTGCTTGGGTCCCTGCATCTGCATGGGAGACTGGGAGGAAGTACCCAGCTCCTGGCTTCAGATCAGCGCAGCGCCAGCCGCAGTGGCCATTAGGGGAGTGAACCAACGGAAGGAAGATCTTTCTCTTTGTCTCTGTCTCACTGTCTATAATTCTCTCTCTGTTTCTCTCTCTCACTGTCTAACTCTGCATGGAAAAAAAAAAGTATAGGCGAGGGGTTCCAAGATGGCAGAATAGTGACAGGATGGTCTGATTCATGTGGGGTGAAATTAATATTTAAAAAGGGGAGAAAGTACACTCCTAAGATAAAGCTGTGGGAAATCCCCAGTGGGAGACCCAGCGAAAACAACAGAGACAGTCCAAGCCTGTGCCTAAAGAGCAAATGCACAACAAAAAACAACAAAAGCTTGGACCCAGGGAGGAGGACGCTGGCCTTAGCAGACCAGGTGAGAGAATTCATGGGTCCATGGTGCTGCAGATAATAGTGGGAGGCAGACCTTGGTGAACTGCTTTTGAAGTTCCATGAGAACCCCCTGGGACAGCAGAGGTGGGAAGAGAAAAGTAAATAAATAAATAAATAAATAAGGAGGTGGCACACCTCTCTCTCTTTCCCTCTCCTCCCTCCTCTGAATCCCTACCCCTGTTCCCACTACAGCAGAGACCTGCAGCCAGGCTGGAGAAGGGTCACGTCATTTTTTTTTGGATGCAGGCAGGTGGCTGCTGCCCCCACATCCTGTAAGTGCATCAGCAATAAAGGGGGTCACCTTGCCCCTACTCAAACAGTGAAAGCCAAAACAATTCAGAATTCCTTCCCTCTCTGTGCTAGTTGTACCTTGCCAGTTTCCAGGCAACAGGAGAGGAAGGGAAGCCCAGCCTATGGGAACTTCTACCCACCTAGCACCATCGAGAAGTGAGCAGGCTGCAGTGGGCGGGGGCTCTGTGCACCTATGATCCACAGACCTAACCACAGAAAAAACTCACACCCCACCACTGACACCAAACCAGGCTGGTAGGACCGCACACAGAAAGTGGCTCTGGGAACACCTTAGTTTCCTTATAGACAGGACTGGCTAGTGGGACGGAATGGCCTCACTGACAGTCCACGACCCAAAGAGCCTTGAGAGCTGAGTCTGAGAAAAAAGTGACTATATAAGAGGAGACAGAGTGTGGCTACACCCTGGGCAACTACAGAGTGCTTCTTTGCAGCCACTGAGCTCCTCGGTTACCTATAACAGCTCATAACAGGGGGAACTGTGCTCACAGGAAAGACTCCACAGAT